CTGAGAGTCCAAGAGAGCCCTCAGAAGAGAAAGATACAATTCTAACTTCCCAGTCAACACTTACCTATATACTGGGCATGACGTTGCATGATATGGAATATTCCATTGGACAATTTAGCCCTGAATTGTAAGTTGAAGTTCAAATTGTAACAGGAGTTGTGGGCCTTTTGTCCCAGCTACGCCCCCTCCCAGCCTGTTGTGCTCCTGCACACTGGCAAAACATGGGAAGCTGAAAAGTCCTTGATATAAACATCACTGCGCTATAAATGTTTTTCTCATAACAAATCCCATACTAAATCCAAAACACAGAGCTCTTCTAGCTGCTAAAAAGAAAAACTAACTGTCCTATCTGGAACCAGGACACACATAACTTGAGTTTTACATGTGGGTTTTTGTTTATAAATAAAACAAACAACAGAACTTGGAGAAATTCATTGAAGAAAAATGAGTCAAGAACTTAACTAAATGTGCTGGTCAAATTGCAGTCTTGCTCAGGAAAACATTGAAACCATTTATATATGAAACACTCAAAAAACACATATCTAGAAGCCTTGGAAAATACTAAACTATGTTGAGTGTTGCACGATATTTGGGGCTAGGTTTAATGTTTGGCTTCATTTCATTAATATAGTAGTGCTTCTGTTTAATAGTGTTAGACCTGTCTAATTTCTCAAGACCTACTCGTCGATGGAAGCTCAAATGCTTCATCTGGTATTCAATCTAAATTTTTAGTCTAAAGATAGGTGATAAGATATGAGGATTAAATGGGAAAAGTCTTACTTATGTATTTCATTGTTTAAACATTTAGCTACTTACTAAAATTTTTAAAGATCTGTTTGCAAATCTGAGGCTAGTAGAGCTCAGACTGTGCCAAGTTCAATCCTACCCTAGGAATCTTTGTTTCCTACTGAAAGTTGGTATGTAGCTGAACACTTCTGTAGTACATGAAATTATAGGTTTTAATGCTGAGATTGAACCTCTCAGTACCACGAACAGGACCTGCACTTTGCAGCAGATTTTTGATGCCATGAAGCTCCATTTCAAGTTTTTTGCATTTTCTTTGAATATAGCAATTCTGTATCTGGCTGGATAGCAGTTCACCAGAGCAGACTGTACCATACCTTTGGACTGAAGAAAAACCTGCAAGTAAGTCAAGTTGCACTATTGTGCAAGCTAATCCTACTGTACTAATCTAAGTAGAATGACACAGTTTTTAAAAAAAATCTGAATTAGAACTTTGATTTGGACTTTAATGCCTGTGAAAATCAAAGTTGGGATGGTGGAAAAACCTCAAGTCTGGTGGTTGGTTTTGGTTTTGTGTTTTTTTTAAAAAACAAACACACACATGCTTTTGTAAGCAATAGTTACTACACTTGATTCTTGCACCTTAACCTGTGATCTGATCTTCCCCTGAGGATGAAACATACTTCTACAGTCTCGTTTGGATTAACCTTAGTCGTTGCAAATCTGGAGGCAGCTCAATATTTTAAGAAGCTTCAAGACACAGATTTTATGAGGACAGAGCTGGTCCACTAGAATATTCCTGCAGTCATATCTAAGCATGAAGTCTTAATTCTTGCTGCATTAGTTGTTAGCGCAAATTTGTTAGAGCTTAAGGGTAACTATTACCCTTCAGCTCCTCCTCTGTCTGAAAGGTAACATAAGGAAGTGTTTGCCATCTCTGATCGTTCAGGGCTCATTCCTGTAGGTGACTTTCTAAATTAAGGATTCCAAGCTTGTATTTACTATCTACTGTAAATCTTCTTAACCTAGAGTTGCTTCAGTTAATGGTCATCTATTCTATCCATGCTAGACAAGTATATAGTACTTCAAAGTCTAGCAGAATGGCAGATTATTGAATGAGTGAGAAAACGTGAAGAGATCTGTTGTCCTTGGACGTTAAAATCACTTCATGGCAATACTTCTAGACTGTACATTTTGTAAACCAGTAAGTAGCATTTCAGTAGAATCCAAAAGCATCTTGTTGAGGTAGACTTTTAAAGGGCTCACAACATGAACAATTGAGCAGGTAATTAAAATGTCACAGAAGACAAACCAACTGAAGATAGTAAGCTTCTTTTGACTGTCAAACTGAAGACGGAATATAAGCATTCCATTCAAATATTGCAACAGATCTCTTAAAGGCGTGATTAACTTTCTAAATATCTAGTCTCCAGAACAAGATGGGAAAAATTGAATGGAGAATTGGAGAGGAAGATGTTGAGGATGGTTTTCTTACCTGTCCATCTAATCCTGTCTCCTCTTTTCAGCTCCTATTGGACAGGCCATTCATCGCTTGCTTCTGATCCAGGCCTTCCGTCCAGATCGTTTGTTGGCAATGGCACATACCTTTGTTTCAACAAATCTTGGAGAGTCTTTCATGTCCATTATGGAGCAGCCTTTAGATCTGACACACATCGTAGATACAGAGGTAACTTACTTATTTTCAAAAGGCTAAAATCCTGAGGTAATGCTTAAGGCCACCTTGCATGAGTTCCATAGGGAGTAAACCTATCCACTGGAACATTTCTTCCACTTACCCTTCTCCTCATGATATGAAGAGTGGATTATTTTCCTATTTGTTAATGTAAGCTAGAGTAGCATAATGTCTTCAGCTGGCCAGAGGGAAGAAAGACTGAGCTTACTACCTTCTCGTATTCATGTAGTGACTGTTTGGTATCCTTTTAAACTTCTCGGACAACAGGTGAAACCTAATACCCCTGTGCTGATGTGTTCAGTGCCTGGTTACGATGCCAGTGGTCATGTTGAAGACCTTGCAGCTGAGCAGAATACACAGATTACTTCTATTGCTATTGGTATGAACATACCTTATTTCATCATCTAAGTATAAATGAAACTGTTAGCAGTAAAACCTTGAGCAACCTTTCTGTCTTTTAGGTTCTGCTGAAGGGTTTAACCAAGCAGATAAAGCAATAAACACAGCAGTGAAATCTGGAAGGTAAGCTCTATCTCCTTTTTAGCTAGAACACTGCTTAGTAGAAAGGTAAACAGGGGAGAAGTAATCTATTGGCTAAATAGTATTTTTTTTCATCAGTTTTATCTATCTTCTGAACTGAAATTTGTAATAACTTAGAAGTTGTGAACAGCTATGCTTATTTGGTATAAACATTTTCAAGAGAAGTAGGTTGTATCTGCAAAACAGGAAAGTTAGCCAGTTTACAGTACACAGTATCTGATTCTGTGTAGAAGACAGGTTTAAAAGAGGGGGGAAAATCTGTAGCATTTATATCATATTCTGTTACTCTTTGTGGTCATGATAAGCTGTACACTAAAAAGCACTTGTTCTGTTTCAAAACTTCACAGATGGGTAATGCTGAAGAACGTTCACCTGGCTCCTGGCTGGCTCATGCAACTAGAAAAGAAGCTACATTCCCTACAACCCCATGCTTGCTTCAGACTCTTCCTTACCATGGAGATTAATCCAAAGGTAACATTGGTTTGAAATTTGATTTTGCAATAGAATAAGTGTTTTGCAGAGCCAAGAGTGCCACTCAGGGAAGATTTTCTCATGACTGCCTTTCTGCAGTAAAGAAAGAGGAGAATACATGGCTGCCTGGGTAGTTAGTAGCCTTGGTTTCTGATAACTTAATTGTAGCTGAAAACTTCGTATCATTTCCTTTTTTTTTTTTTTTTTGCTTCCTCTACCCTCCAAAAGAAAGGCAGGAGTTTACTGCATGTGCTCGCAATGAGGTTTTGAAGCTAGTGCAAACCGCTGTTAGAGGGATTTAATTTATCAAAGGCTAAAGGAGCTGGGTTTGAGTTTATTAATCTTTTCTAGGTGCCAGTAAATTTGTTACGTGCTGGACGAATCTTTGTGTTTGAACCTCCTCCTGGTGTAAAGGCAAACATGCTGAGGACTTTCAGTAGCATTCCGGTTTCTAGAATGTGCAAGGTAAGGCTGTGGTTTGTGTAGATGGAAGAAAATGGGAGAACATGTTCATTAAAATCTTACCTGAGTAGCTGAGGTTTTATCCAAGATGTACATAGAATGTTTTTTTTTCACAGTAGTAAAGTAGTAGTCACTTCTTTTCTCATAGAATTTATTTGGTTTTGGTAGCAATCTTGCATTAAATCTGATATTTTCTAGCCTCTTAGCAGGCTTTGATTTTTATCAGTTTGCTTGAGTAACAGTTGTATTGATAATTTTTTTCTCTCTACTTCCTAGTCTCCAAATGAGCGTGCTCGTTTATATTTCCTCCTTGCCTGGTTCCATGCCATTATCCAAGAGCGCTTGCGCTATGCTCCGTTGGGTTGGTCCAAGAAGTATGAATTTGGAGAATCTGATCTGAGATCTGCCTGTGACACAGTAGATACATGGTTGGATGATACAGCAAAGGCAAGTAGTATTGTGTACTTAGGTACAGGTAATACTTGGATTACTTGGAATCTTCAGCAAAACAGTCTGTTCTGGATACATTTAGTAAGTTAAATGAATAGGCACAATAACCTGATGGCAGTTCAACTTAGTTCTTGAATTTGATTCCTCGATCAGAGGAGATATGAAGAGGATTGTTTCCTGCTAATTGTATTGCATTTCACTTGCAGGGTCGCCAAAACATTTCACCTGATAAAATCCCCTGGTCTGCATTAAAGACACTGATGGCACAGTCTATCTATGGAGGTCGTATCGATAATGAATTTGATCAACGTTTGTTAAACACTTTCTTGGAACGTCTGTTCACTACTTTAAGTTTTGATAGTGAATTCAAACTGGCTTGCAAAGTTGACGGACACAAAGATATTCAGATGCCAGATGGAATCAGGTATCATTTTTTTCCTTATCCTGATCTCTGTGTACAGCTTCTCTTGTTTTAAAATAACAAACAAACAAAACCCCTAAGCTCTATCTCCGTGCTGGAATTTAGCTGAGTAAACATTTGTCTCAGGACAGAATTACCTTGCCATTCTAATAGAGGAAGCCTTCTGATGAATATTAAAACTCTGACTTGCAGGCGCGAAGAATTCGTCCAGTGGGTTGAGATGCTGCCAGATACACAAACTCCGTCGTGGCTGGGCCTACCAAATAATGCAGAGAAAGTTCTTCTCACTACACAAGGTAAAACCAGAACTTTAACAATGTAACTGTGTCTTGCATAGATTACCAGGCCACTGTTCTAACTAAAAAGCAGAAGCGAAATGTATTTTTTGAAGAGTTGATAGCTTTCCCCTCTTCCCTCAACATGGTTGGTTTACCTTCTGCAAGGTAAGACACTCGAGTAGTCTAAAAACTGACTAGAAGCTTGTGAATTGAAAGTACATTTCAGCCTTCCACATGTCAAACTCCCATCTTGATTCTAGAAAGCTTTATTGTCACCTCTGGAGCCACCTACAGCTAGGCAGTTCTGAATCTTAGGTCTAGACTAGGGAAGAAGAAAAGTCCTAGTTCTTGCATGTGGTAGGATGTTTTCATCTTGAATGTCACTGTTTCTCTGCCTAACGATGTATCTTCTGTTCTAGGCATAGATATGATCAGTAAGATGCTGAAAATGCAGATGCTAGAGGATGAGGATGATCTAGCTTATGCAGAAACTGAGAAGAAGACAAGAACCGATTCTACATCAGATGGTCGCCCAGCCTGGATGAGAACACTGCATACCACAGCCTCTAACTGGCTTCACCTTATCCCACAAACTCTAAACCATCTGAAGCGGACTGTGGAAAACATCAAGGTAAGAACTGAGTTTTATCTAACGTGGACATAGGAGGTGCGTTGGAACAAGAGCATTGTGATCTACAAGTTGCAGGGGAGAACGGAACCTGCATCAGTGCTGATTCTGACTGCCATAGCTATGTAATATCCCATGGGGCTTCTTGAAACGCTCTTAAAAGTTGGTTTATGTCTTCTGGGGGTTATTTGAAGAAATACAGTGGCAAATCGTCTATCAAGGGTGCCACTTCTGAAGCTTCTCTGTGATCAGGTAACAAGAAACAAGTGTTTCCTGTTGTACCTGTAGCACACTGACTGCTGCTTATGATATTGCCTTTACAGCCAGCGCACATTAATTACAGCTAAAACTTAGTGGTGGTCAGTGACAGGAGAGAAAGGGCAGCAGCTTCTGCTAACTGGGAACAGAAATTGCAGGGGCTGGAGGAAACTTCTGAGATCTGGACGCTAGTACCCTAAGCTCTAGCTCATTAATAAGCTCCCTGGTTGAATACGGCCACAATTGCCTGACTGCTTCTAAAGACTTATTCTGGGACAGTAGGTGAGAACCTTTTGGTGCTGGTTGAAACAAGTGTGGAGTTGATTGGAAGGAGGTGCAGCAGGCAGTCTGTATTAATTGTTCAACTAAGAATTCTGCTTTCTTGCCTCTCCAAGAGAGAGGAGATTATTGATAGTAAAACAGTCTCTGCCTGCACCATTGACTGCATCTTCATGTTTAGTGCTTGTAATCACAGTGTCAGTGGTCAGTCCATCCAGGATTTTGAGATTGCTTTTTGTAGCAGTTTTCCAGCAAGAACTTTGATCTGCAACTTACTTTCAATGTTTTGACAATCAGGATCCTTTGTTCCGATTCTTTGAGAGAGAGGTGAAAATGGGAGCTAAGCTGCTTCAGGATGTTCGTCAGGACCTCGCCGATGTGGTTCAAGTGTGTGAAGGAAAGAAGAAGCAAACCAACTATTTGCGTACGCTTATAAACGAACTGGTGAAAGGTACAGTAATTCAAATTGGCATCTCCCAGTGCTCTCTTGGCCTCTTGCACTCTGCAAGTTAGAGGCTATTAACGCTCAGCAGCTTGAAAAGAAAATTGGGGTGGACTTGACTGTTTGACACAAGCAATGTTTTTGTGTCGAGCATAAAATGCCAATTGGTTTGGGATTTCAAGTTGAGGTAGCTAATATACTAGGCTTTTTTGTACGATTTATGTCAGTAGGTTAATGTCTAAGCTGAGATCTTCCTTAATTCTTTCGGTCTCTGAATTGTGACAGAACAAAGTTACTTATACCACAAAGTGAATAATCTTGCTCCTGTAAAAATCTCCTAGAAAATTATTGAAGTTCTCTGAACTTCTGTTTCAAGATTGTACTAAGATGTGGAATTTTCAGAGACATCCTATTTCTAGTAATACATGAATATGTGCTGTCTGCTTTGAACAAAAGGGTTTCCTGAAACAGATACTTGACCTCTTCAATTTTTTCTAAAGTTGAACCTTCACAAAATCTTGAACATCAGTTACTGCAGTATATAGTTGTGCATAACTGAAGTTGCTGTTAAAGGGTTTCTGTAATTTAAGTCTGCATTTTAAATAAATTGTAGACCTGGAGGCCATTTGCTTTGTAATCTTTGAAAGTGCTTTCACTTATTGAGAGCCTTTTATGTAGAGTCTGATACCTTGGTCCGAGTCTTAAATGACTATTGGGAGAAAAAGTGAAGTGTCAAAATAGTGTGTAATTCCAACTTCTATGCAAACAAAACCTGATTCTAATCACATATTTTCACAGGTATTTTGCCTCGTAGCTGGTCTCATTACACAGTGCCAGCTGGTATGACTGTTATTCAGTGGGTGTCCGACTTCAGTGAGCGCATTAAACAGCTGCAGAATATTTCCCAGGCAGCTGCTTCTGGTGGAGCGAAAGAACTAAAGGTATCTTGTGCTGACTACTTCTAGTAGCAATAGCAATAACCTATTGGTGGAGCTGTATAACTACTTCATGGAGGCTTCACATTGAGTCTTCTAAATAGTTCCTCAGGCAAAACAACTGCAGTCAGTGTTCTCTGAAATGGGCTTGTAAGCACTGTTGAGTATCTCCTGATCTCAAAATGGTGAGGCGTAGCAAGCCACCTCTTCATACAGATTAGAGGGAAACTTTGTGTTTTAGAATGACATAAGACCTAACCTTAAAGCAAAAAGCAGTTTAGTAGTTGCACAGTGTTCCAGTAGCAGCAGGAAGATTTTAAATGTAAATAGATTGTTAAAGTAATATTTCTGATAATGATTGGTTAATACTGCAGCTGATACTCTTTTTTTAAATTTTTTTGCCCCTCAAATAGAACATCCACGTGTGCCTTGGTGGCTTGTTTGTACCAGAGGCATATATTACTGCTACAAGACAATATGTTGCCCAAGCAAACAGTTGGTCCCTTGAAGAACTCTGTCTTGAGGTCAATGTTACAACTACACAGAATGCAGTACTGGATGCATGCAGTTTTGGAGTCACAGGTAAACTTACGAGAAAGAAAGGGTTCTTGCTCTAATATTTTTCAGAAGCTTCTGGTATTAAATGAGCTGTATCAAATGAAAAAGATCATATCATCACAGAAGTTAATACATGCTTTCTGAAGTTATTTAAAGATTAGTTTGATGAATTCGTTAGTAGGGAAGTACTTAACAATGCTAATAAATCTCAAGACTCATGTCAGTATATATTTAAGTGGTATGGGATAGTGCATCTGCTACAACCTCTTTATTTTGCAGTATGAAGTACCCCTCATTTAGTGGGCTTAGCCCTTAAGTGATACACAGGGAGACAGTCTTTGTCTGGATGTGTGAGAGCTCTTGGAACTCTAACGTGTATTTCAATTCATAGGCCTGAAGCTCCAGGGAGCTACCTGCAGTAACAACAAGCTGTCGCTTTCAAACGCTATTTCAACTGTACTGCCCATTACGCAGCTTCGCTGGATCAAGCAGACAAATGCTGATAAAAAAGCAAATGTGGTAAGTGTTGGTAAAAATAATTTTTAAAAGAACTCTCAGATGCACCTAGCAGTTTTTTTTCCAGAAGCTTTATGGATACGGATCTGGCACCATCAATCAAATTGTTCTTTTCTAATATTCTCAGTGTCAGTTGGTACCTAAATTCCAGGCTAGCAGCAAACAGACCTAGTGTTGACTAGGTCTTCCCTTTGTAGTTAGTTAAGAAGGAGAAGCATCCAAAAATACTGATGCTGTTCAGGCCCAGACTTGAATTCATACCTATAAAGAAGGCTGTGCTTTGGGTGAATTTACTAGGCCTGGGTTTTTTCTCATCTTTTTAGTATTGAGTTATCCAAGGCTAAGTCCCATCTTTCAAATAACCATATAGTATTATAGAAACTTCTTACACTCTTCAGCTACCTTAATACCTCTTCTATATTCATGTTTTTCCCCAGGTTACTTTACCAGTTTATCTGAACTTCACTCGTGCTGATCTGATTTTCACGGTTGACTTTGAAATAGCTACCAAGGAAGATCCTCGTAGCTTCTACGAACGTGGTGTTGCAGTTCTCTGCACTGAGTGAAAAGATTTGCTCTGACTGGTTAATGCTGTAGTAGTTGTCAAGTCTATTATGTAGTATTCACCTGTACTTTCGTTAACAGTTAGGTTAGGTTGTCATTTGGATTTGTGTTAAGTTGACTAGAAAGAGAAGGAGCGCTGCATGGGAAGGCCGATAGGTGAGATTTCTTTGAAGGAAAATTGGATGAGATTTTTAGACAGTTATTGGCGGATGTTGTATTTGATGGATCATATTATATGAAATAAAATATCTAGCAAAACTTTTGACTCTCTATTTCTAGAAATATAATTCTTAGAATGATTATTTTTTGTTGGGTTTTTTCTGGTCTGGAAAATCCATACCTGTCATCTTTTCAGAGACTAACAAGTCAGGTATTCAGGAGTATCGTTGACCTTCACACAGCTTGCTCAGCAACTGGTTCAGCTAACCTCCAGTAACAAGAACCTTGAAATGTAAGTCTTCAGTGCAGTAAGGCACAAAGCCCGATATTATCTGTTCCAACATCTGATGCCATTGCATGCGTTATTTGCAGTGAACTGGCTCTTGCTTGAAGTAACCTGCATTGACACAGCTGCTGAGATGCATTCAGAAGCTAGAGTATCCTAAACAAGACTTTCTTGTCCTTCTGGCCACAGGGTTTCCTCTTTCTTAAGCTACTTTTATGGTGAAATATGCCTCCAGTTTCATGTCTCATTAAGCACAGGAGGATAGTATTAAATGCTTAAACAAGGAGTTACAGTATTATTGCAGAGACTCAGTTGTGACCAACTGTTAGGAATTAGGGGAGCTGAGAGTTTCTGTTAATTGCTTGGGTTGCTGTAATGGTTTGGATATTCACTTGCTCTTTCTGATCCTAAATTGTCCCTGCCCATGGCAGAGGGGTTGGAACTATATGATCTTTAAAGTCCTTTTCAACCCAAACCATTCTATGGTGAGTATTTCTACCTTTCTGACCATCCTATCAGAATAACTGTCCTCTCTTAACAGTTGCTAATACCAAGTGTTTGAAGATGCATACAAAGAATACAGGTGCATAGTTTTTCAATCTCAAAACAGGAATCTCAGGAGCTCCTTCCTTCCAGTGATTTGTCCTGTGAAAGCAGTGACTTTCTGAACCTGCATCAACTTTTTTTCTATGATAAGTGGTTCTACAGCACAGGCCTATGTGGGGAGGAAAAATCATTATCTCAGTCTGCCTCACATACTTGTTTCAGCTGATGCCTACTAGTTACTGAAATAGAGAGTTCTTGCTGTCTACCCTCTCCAAACTGTTTTGTATAGCTCATCTCTGTAGGTTGAACTGTCCTGGCTGGCCTTATTACCTTACGAAGAATGAATCCCAGACCAGTGCATTATGTAATCTTTCTCTGCTGCTTGTAGTTCTGATATCCAATTGTGAGGAACAGAGATGGAAACTATATGCATCATCTGAGATCAGTTTTAATGGTAACGTGTTCTGTTTCAGCTTCTATGAGTTGCTTGTCTTTCCGTCACCACAATGTTAGTATCTGGAATTCATACTGTCGCTTGCTCCAGGATCATTTGAAATACATTGTACAGTAAGGAAGCAGACCACCTCCTGCTAGCAGTGTGCTCTGGGTACTAGTTGCAGTGTGAAGCATTAGTTTAAATATGCACAAGCTGTAGCTATTAGCAGCTCAGCGGAAACGTGCACCTTTCTTTCAGCAGCTATTTTCTGCACATAGCTCAGCACCTGGGCTGTGGTGCCAGCTCACAGCTACTGTAAAAGTCTTCAGTTAAACCAGTTCCACCTATTAGCAAGTACTAATGATGAGAGGAAGAATGTTTGAAGTAGCTAGAGCTTCCCAAACTCTTTAGCTCTTTATATGCTGCTAACTAGCTTCTGCATTAGGCCTGAATTAACAAAAGGTGCACTTTCAGTTCAGAAGTTAACCCAAAGTTGGATTCTTACACTGAGTGAGCAACCTTTGAATACCTGAGTATATCCTGTCCCATGTGGCTTACCTCTCAACTTACTTCTCTCCTGATTGTTCCTGTAATTGTTTTTTCCTGGTGGATTATTTATTTCAGTGTGCTGTTAAACAGCCAGTTTAAGTGAAATCCTTGCTAGATGAGTTTAGGGTTCTTGGCTGCAGTTTGAAGGTCAGTAGTTCAGTGTTACTTTGCCTCAGAGGAGGAGGTTGAAAACCATTCAGCAGACAGACAGGACTTATACCCTTTTAAGACTTCCCTGACATGGGGCTGAAGGGCTTGGCTTTGTGACAACGTTGTATTTTTGAAGCTTTTCATGAGTCTCAGTTCTAGAGAGATGTGCACCCTAGCTGCAATACACAGAAATGTATAGCTGCAAGGGCTTTTGAGTTTTGGGGTTTTTTTTTTTGCAATTAACTTCACAGTGTTCACTGTAGTGTTCTTTGCCCCTGGGGCAAGTCAGAGGGCAAGCACAGCAGCTTGTGTCTTGGGGCAAAGGCGGAATCCTACTGTTCTAACCCATTTGTTTCCAAGCTGATTAAAAATCATCTCTCTATCTCCAGACTAGGGATGAGGGTGAAAGCAAAGTTGCTGTAATGAAATAAATACACAGCTGTTAAAGGAAAGGTGCAACGCTGGAAGTTAAATAAGTCTTTCAAGTGGCTTTGCACCTTATGAAGGAAACTGTAAATTAAAAATCTCTGCCAGCCATACAGAATGAACGCTTTCACAAGTAGTTGGTACCAATATATTTCAAGCCCTCATTGTACTTTTATAGGTAGCAGTTCCCCTTCCACGTAAATGAACTACACAGACTCTAAAGGTGGTAAAAGAAATTACCATAACGTGAGAGGGAGATCAGAGATACGGTTTTCACTGACTAACTGGCCTCCCATCTGCATGCACCACTTCAGAACCGATTGTTCTAAGGAAGAAGAGTCCTTTCAGCAACTGTGTTCAACTTCACCTTGTAAATTCTAAACTGGGAGGTGTACTGAGACACGATTCCTAAAACATTGTTCAAAACAGCTACGAACAGATATGTTAATAGCACAAGTCAACTTCTCCCTGTTTGAAGAAAAAACCAAAAGCTAGTTTCCCTTTTTTTGCACTCGGTTCAACTTAATGCAATTCGGTTGTTTGTAGATCATTCACAATACAGCTGCTTCCCATTTCTTCTACAGGAGCTCACATGTAGGAAAAGCCAAACACTGACACAAAGCCAGCATGGGGTAAGCTGTAGCTGTTGAATACTAATTGCAGTGATGCAGTCATTCCTCATTCCCTCCTCAACAAACCTTTGTAGTACATTTTTGAAGTTACACTGAAACAGAGCAGGTGTTTCCAAGCACCAGATACAGAAGTTCAGCTGGTGCTTCAAGGGGCCTGAGAACCGAAGCAGCACCCGAGCATAAAGCTTAGCTGTGATTCTGTGGGTGTACCTTACATGGAGGATGTACTTTACCCAGCTTGCACTTCAGTTGCAGCACAAGCTTGGTTGGTTGACTCTGTCTTTTCAGGCGGATCTCAAAGCCTGCAGTACACAATGCAGCTGCATTTGTAACAGGCCTGAGCTAGTTTGTTGAAAACTTGCTCAGTTCAGGTTCCATCTGCAAAAGAAATCTCTACCAGGTTCATTCTTCAGAACAAACTGTTTGTCCAATGGTTTATTCACGCTTCAGATTAAGTTGCACAGAATTTCTTTCTTTTTAGTTTTTCATTAGCACCCTCTGGATTGGAAATCCCTTGTTTTCTTTTAGTTAAGGGCTGTTTGGCCCTTGTGCCATCGCCATCAGCTGCTAATATGGGTTGTGGAGGGCTATCACCTGGTTTTGCAAGGAGATCTGCAGAAGCTGAAGGGTTAATACTCATCAGTAAGGAATGGTCAGCTGTCGACCACGTGGAGGCTCTAGTCAGTTCAGGTGATTGCAACAGGCTGCTTGGGAAATCCTTCTCTGGGCTAGGAAGTTCCAGAGGTGCTTTACACTCATTTACTGTCTGAATTTCACTGACTTCTGTTTCTGGGCAGAGCCAGCCTGGAGGTTTAGGAAAGGACTCTCCCTCTTCCGAAGCATCAGCATCCTCCAAACCCACTGCTTTTGGGACACTGTTCATCCATGGTGCAGCTTTTATACTACTTAAAGAATTCAAGCTACAGTCAGAGTGAACAGATGCATCTTCTGAATCACCATCATAAGGATCTAAAAACTAAAATAAAGGTCCCTAAATATGGTGGATGCTTATTTGTCTATAAAAAAAATACAAAAGGCAACAGAATGGGCTTTAAAACCACTTACAACATAAGTTACATACTTCCTATGAAAGTTTTTCTGGTTATCCACACATTCCCACTCTATATGTTAATTTTTTGGGTGCTACATTGAGAACAAGGCTGCTTACTTGTAGTCCCCTGGAGTCCTTTGCTTTCCTGAGTCTTCTAGCAAGTGGGCTAGGCATGACCTATTTGACAAAAGTTAATATAGGTTAAACTTCATGTGAATTATTGATCAAATTAAAACCAGAGTAGGTAAAAATCCTAGAGAAGAGGAAGCCAGATTGTCCCCTTGCTAAAAGGCAGTAAAAAAGTGTATCTCAGTCCAACTTTAACAGGCCTGGTAAAGCTCACCTGAAATAGAGGGACTGAGGAGAGCTCAGTTTTAAGTCTTCCTGCACTTAAAACATTGCTGTAAAGAGAACGATGAGTAATTGTGTAGCTTTCCACCAGGAAAGTAAACCAAATCATCATTTAACTAATAGTAAACAAGATATAATTTAGAGTTTAGAAAGCTTCCCTCCCACTCAGGTCCCTTTTTGTTCTTTTACACAGAGATGATCTGACATTTCTTCCTTATCAGCTGTATTATGAATTTGCTGTCCTTCGGGGAGTTCTGTAGCTAACTCGGTCAAACTGGGTCCTTTCAGTCAGTCTCAGTATCGCTGCTGTAACACTGAGGTTTCAGGCTGCTTTTCCCCACGTAGTTAAACATGGACTTGTCCAGACCTGGACTGAGAACTTTCTTCATGGATTTATGCTTGAGAACCACATCATTCTAAAATGGTGCTTATACTCTTATATTTAAAAAAAAAAAAAAGTGCCACATAGGAAGACTCCCTTTAAAAGCAAAGCACAGGTACAAAGTAGTCACACAAAAAGAAAAAAAATTCTACTGCAAGGAAAGTGTTCCTTCAGAAGGATCCACCACAAGTGCTTGGAGAGCAAGCTGTCAGTTGTTGCTGTGCCTGCGTTCGGTGGGGAAGGAGGAGAGCCTGGGCACAGCCAATGCAGAGCAGCGCTTGGCAGATCTG